AGAACCCTCACAGTTCTATAAAGTTATGCTAGACAGAAATGTAATTGAAAGAAAAGAGCTTTGCTTTAGGCATATGTACGGTACAACTTCTGTTCTTTCTGTGGTGAATTAGTGTAAAGACTAACAGCAAACAGCCCTGTGTTTTAATAAAGCTTTTGTAGTATTCTAGCTAGATCAATGTGTATTTTATGTAATAAGTAATATATGTTACTTCTTGTTCATAGTGCAAATAGCACACGACAAGCTGTTTATCCAGTTTGAGTATTACTGACTAGTGTACATTTATTAGTTGTCTACCAGACCCTTTTCTGGTTAAGGTGGGAAAGATTTCTGGGATATGAAAAGTCATATAATCTCATAAAAATCAATAGAAAGCTTTTTTAATGGCTATAATAATCGCACAACCACTCTAGCGGTAGTTAAAACATACATTTTTCCTTACGTTGGTTGTCGCTTTTAACTCTCACACCTGAAAACTTAATCCAAAAGTACCTGTAAAAGGAAAAAAAAAATAAATCTGGAAGTGGGTTACAGTACGATTTTCATGTTTTAAATGCTTTTTTAGATACTACACGTAAAGGAGATTTTTGTTATATTGATGTTATTTCTGAGCTACAGACCTAAACATCGTACTCTGTATATTACTTGAGTAATATAATGGGTGTGCTGGGAGTATTATGTTCTGTGTATATCAGTCTTTAATCCTTTCCCAAGCAATGAATCTGATAGTATTGACCACTCAAACTGATGCTTCAGCATTCAGCGGGAAGCTCCTTTCTGAAGCCTACGCTGATCTACTGATTTATTTTTTTTTTTTTTTAGCTAAATGTGTTATTCCCAAATTCTGTCTCTCAGATAAAGGCCATAGAATCAAAACCTATATTTGAAAATTTTAACACTGCAGTGTTATTGTCGTCTTTAAAAATAAATAAATTTGGAAAACTTTAAGTCGGTGGCATGCATTGTTAATGTTTTGCAAATGCCATATATACAAACACTGCTCTGTAAAAGCTTTTATGTTCCAGTGTGTTAACGCTACTAAAGACGTAGAAGTAAAGCAATTATTTGTATTCCAAATGGTGAATTCCGTTACTGTTGGTGAGGTTTGTTGGTTTACCAAGTCTCAGGGAACCAGAACATTTGAAAGGCAGGGATTTTTAGGATTCACAAACTTGTGTTCCAGTACGTATATTTATTAGGCAGGAAGCAAATTCCTTTTTTTAATCTGTTTTGTTTGGTTTTCGTTTTTGTTGAACATACCTAGGTCAATAGCAAGGAAATTCTGGCTGCTTCTAAAGATATAACCCTTTGTACGGTCCGCCTTTTCCTTTGCAAAGGGGATATCTCTTGCACTGGCCTATGTCCGTATGTGCCTACAGTCGTGACGCTGGAACTCTTCATAGGACTAAGAAATGGATGTCGTTTTTCCTTTTTTGCTCCTATACGAACCCATAATATCCCTTGGAATTTAGAACCCATAGAATTATTTCATTGAAGTATGTGTTTCTGATGCAGTTATCTGTTAAGATGTATTTAAGAGCCACCATATTTAAAAAAAAAGTTCTAATCGCTATTTATTGTAAATCTCAGCTGCAGTTATCATCTGTGAAAGTAATGAGTAAAAGTGCATGGAATGAAAAGAAGGGGAAAAAATTGCTTTTTCTTTTTTCTCATGTTTTGTTCTTAACATGTTAACCTAAATAAGACATTTCTTTAGTTGAAAAGACATTGACTAAACGTCAGCTGCCTGAGGTTTTTTGTAAATAGTAGTCGTCTTATCAGAAACTAGCTACTTAGTCTTGATTTTCTGTTTATTAGCCTTTTAATGTAACAAGGCCGTAAGCGTATTTTGTTTTTAAGTCTAGCATCTTAAACTTGGTCTTTTCCAGAGCCCTTGCTTATAAAAGGACAATTTAGCTTTATGCTGAAGAGCAATAATAGTATTGTAAAGTTGATTTTGTACTTAACACGGTGATATTGTGATGTGCTTCATGCAAAGTCCTGCACTTGGGACAGGCTGCTGCAGAGGTGGTGTCTTGAGAGCGGGAAGCAACCCTGCAGAAAACCTGGAGTCTGTCCTAGTGGAAAAAGATGAGTCCGTAGTGTGCCCTGGCAGCAATGAAGGCTGGCAGCATCCCGGGCTTCATGCTAGGGGCATAGTCAGGAGGGTAGTGACTTTTTTTGCTCTTAACTCAGAATTTGCTGGGTTGCATATGGAGCATGGTATTCAGTATTCTGTACAAAAAAATCTTTTTTGTTGATAAACTTGAGTGGAGGACCATCAAGGCGGTCAGGGGCTGGAGCCCCTGATTGAGGAAAGGCTGATAGAACTGGGCTTGTCCAGACCAGAGAAACCAAGGTTTGTGGTGGGACCTGTAGCAACCTTCCCATACCAAATAGGTTACTGTAAAGGTGGAGCCAAGCTTTTTAGCAAAGTGTACAGCAAAAGAATGAGAGACAGGGATCATAAACTAGAACTAGGGACACTTTAACTAGATATGAGAAGAACAAAATTCGCTTTCTTAAAAGATGACTTTTAATTCAAAATACCCAAAGTTGTCTTTTCTATAAAGTAAAAAATGTTAAATTCTACCCAAGAATAAAAAGAGAGGAGACAAAAAATTTACCCTGAATACAAATATACTGTATATATGTAAAGATACAGCCATGCTGTTGTTACCATTCTGGTTCCTATCTTTCATTTCTATTTTTCATAGAATCATGGAATGGTTTGGGTTGTAAGGGACCTTAAAGATCATCTGGTTCCAACCCCCCTGCCATGGGCAGGGACACCTTTCACTAGACCAGGTTGCTCAAAGCCCCCTCCAGCCGGGCCTTGAACACTGCCAGGGATGGGGCACCCACAGCTTCTCTGGGGAACCTGTGCCAGTGCCTCACCAGCCTTATTATATTTAAATAATACCTGCTAAACTACATGCAAGAAACACCTGTCTTCCTTAACTTCTCGTTATATTAGTAGGCTTAGAGCTTGATTTTTAAAGTATGTATATTGATTCTAAAGATCAGAGCTAAATGTTATTCGTTGTGTCTCTTAGCTATTGAAAATACGGATGAAGGTAGCTGAGACGTGTTTCTTGATGGGGCCAGAGAAGTGAAGTTGACACAGTTGTTTAGGATCTGAATGACTGTTTACTACAGGTTTCAAACAATTCAGCAGGTGCTCATATTAACTCTTGTTAATATGATGTTACTGTTGGTGACAGAACATGTTTCAGTTGTAATCTAAAGGCAAAATAATTTTGTCCATTTAGAAAAAAAAATGCTTTATCCACTTGACGATGTCAGAGATCAAAGACCGCAAATCCCACAGTTCTTGTTCACAAACAAATTGAAATGCAATTTCTTTTTGCCATGCAGATGTTTAGCCACTAAATCTATGATTTTTTTTTTTTCAAGTTGGAAAAACTTCTGTGTATGTAACACATTAAAACCTTTTAAATGCATACCATTACTGAGCATTGTTTAGTCTTTAATCACCGAATCGGTATGAATTAAATTGCATTCATAATTGCCTAAATACCTTATATTTTTAAAAGCCTGTTTTTCGACTGCACTCATTTATTCTTAACAGGGTAATCCTTAAAGCTGAAAGGCCTCTATTAAATTGAACATCAATGGCAAGCCTGTCATAAGGATTATAGAATTAGAACTTCTAGTGATTTAGAGAATGAGAAAACAAATAGGAGATTTTACACACACGTTTATGTATTCTTCTTAAATAAATCCTTGATTTCATTTGTTGTGTGTGTTGTAGCTTACTTCTGCATAAGAACTGTACTAGATGAGTTAGTAAAATGTGGTTAAAAAAATCTTTACAGATGTACTTGTAATACTAATTCTCTGTAAAAAGTGAAGTACGCTCATCTCAGACTCTTGCATACACCTGTTGTCTCCATTGCCTTTGCCAGTAAGGGGTAATCTCTACTTCCACTAAATCTTCAATCAACTCATACAGTCATTCGTTATGTCTGCATAAAAATGGAGAAGCTACATTTGGACTTAAATTCATTTTCTCGTTCTCTTAAGTTCATCATGTTCCTTTGCATATACACATGCACTCTGCCGTGGGATTTAGTCACAGGTATCTATGTTTACTTTGCCACTAGCCCTGTATTTTAACAATTATTTCAGAATTTTTTTTTTTTTTAAATAATAAACTGATTCCAGCAGTTAATGAATTTAGGTTAATGAAGAGCAGAGGGTCTTATCACCTTCAAGAAGACTAGTTTATTTCAGACCACTAAAAATTGCCTCTGCAGTTGAGAGGATAGAAAAAATATGCAATTACCTGTTTCTTCACACTGTGCACAATTTCCCTGCAGCTTTTCATAAATAAAACTGGACATACTAAATTTCCTTTACTGGCAGTGAGGATTACCTTTGCTTTTCTATTGCCATTTTGTATTCCAGTAAGGTGGGGTGCATTTATTTCACATGTTTGTATGGAAGTTGTCTGAAAGTCTTTAGAATAAACCAGCATGCTTTAGATTTTGCTTCGATAAAATATTGTGGAGTTACAACAAGGAGTTTCTGTAACTTGACTGGTAAAAGAGCAAATTCTGACTTTTAGCATGCTGTCCAGTTATGCAGCATTTCAAAGGGATTCCTTTAGGAATCTGGCGGTGGGAGGCATTGAAGGAATGAACTAATTTCTGTTCTGTTTAATCTCTCTTCATAGCGAGCATTCTGAACTGGCGTTGCTAAAATCTAGAACTTTTTGGACTGTCTTTGGGTTTTGTTCTCAGCATAATTAATTGTTCTTTAAAAAATACAGCATAGGGATAGATTCCCTTTGTAGTCTTAAATTATAAAGAATTGCAGAAATTTCATTTTTTAAATAATTTGTTTTATTTGCAGGCAACCAGTGTAGGTAACTTTTTTCTAATGAGTTTGCATCTACAATATTCACTTTATTTAAACATTTTATGAAAAAAAGTGATATTTTTTTCTTTTTGTTTTCTCCTGTGTTCCCTTTTTAGATTCGAGATACTAAATCAACAGATCAGAAAACAACCCTATTGCATTTTCTGGCAGAAGTCTGTGAGGAGAATTACCGGGACATCTTAAAATTTCCAGATGAATTGCAGCATGTTGAGAGTGCAAGTAAAGGTAAGCAAATAGATAAACACCTAAAGGTAATAGCTGTTTGCTTTGACATTAAATACTTCCAACATTCCATTTTAGATTGTAGGATTATGTAACCTCTAAGCATTGGTAATCCACATGGATTTTGCTTTTCTGGTATTTATTGATCCGAGAAAAAGTGAGGAGAGGAAAAACAGTAGTAAAGTAACTTTTCTTTTTCTGAAGTAGGTTGTGGAAATCATACAGCATATTTCAGTGAAGTGCTTACAAAATCACATATCAGAAGTTGTGTAAGCAGCATAATGATGATGTCGAGTTTACCATTAAGCCTTTGAAGTCTTGTTGCTTGAGAGTGAATGCTCGTGTGTGCGCATGCGTATGTGCACAGTATGTTTCTCATTTTAACCCTTGATTGAACACCTGAATGGAGAATAACAAATACGCTTTCTAAAGTTCCCAGACTGTATATGAAATATATAGTTTAATTATACTGTACAGTCAATGATTAATACTGATTTTATTCTTGGTCAGTCAGCAGTATAGCCTGGTGAATCTGGTAGAAAACTTAATTCATTTGTTGTTGGATTTTTTTTTTTTTTTAATGTGAAATACGCTGTGCTGCTTAGCACCCTTGTTGCTTAGCTATGGAAGCAAAGGCTATGTGATAGGGGTTGATGAAGAGAACGCAAACTGTTTTATTTTGACTGGGCATTACTGATTCATCAGAAGATAAATACTTGGGGGATCACAAGAATATGAAGAGAAAGAGAGGGGAAGAGAAGTTGGATACACATTTCCACTAGCTCTATCCAGGTTTTCTCTCGCAAATTTTTGTCTCTCCCCCTTGCTTAGGCCATCATTTTCTTTCAGTTTGTGATCTTCTATCTTAAACTTCGGTCTAATGAGAGCAGAACTCTTGTTTCCTCAAGGACTTAGAGAATAGTTCATCAATCAACCTAACTCTGCTATTGTTTCATCTCTGACTTATTCACAAATTTATGTGATTCTTTGTCATACAATTTTTTTGCTCTTTCTTAAACTTCACGAGTACCTTTCCATGTTTTTTTTTCTGCATATAAACTAAATTTTACTTGTATTAATTAAATGTCTCCATGCTTTACTTTCGTCTTTGCTGATGAATATTTCATTGGCATGAATGCCTATTGACAAAATGGAACTGATCTGTCTTGATCGCGTTGAGGATGGTATTGTGTTTTAAGGCAGTATAGAGACTGAAGAGATAACTTGTGCATTGCCATCTTGAATGTACCATATATATACACACACATATCTATAAAAGTAAAGGTGCATGCTTAAACAATGTACAGCTGGCTACTTATATCTGAGCACTACTACAAAGATTTTTTACAAATACTATTAATTTTTCTGTTGACAGTCAATGTTGTTTGTTCCTGGCCTCTGTTATGGAGTCAGGTAACTTCCTAAAACTGTTTTGTTTTTTTTTTTTTTTTTTTTTTTTTCTTTTTCCCCCCCCCCCCCCAGTGTTACACAGCAAGGGTCACTGGTCTGGCTAATGTGTTCACAAGGACCCACGATAGAGTAGTATAGTGATTAGTAAAATAGCAGTTTGTCATCTTATCTAAATTCCAGAAATGTTTTCTACTACTTGATAATTCTTTTCTGGAGGTGATTTTTTTAAGTTTAGTCTTTTTCTTCCTGCATCTCTTGTTAAATTCTTTACAAAGCCTTATGTTTACTAGGCACATTTGATGATCTTTTATTAATTTTCTCCTGTGGCTAACACTTTACCTTGCAGCTTTGAGATTTTTATAGTTTGATTCAAAGCCTCTGATGTTCTGTAAGTTGGCTTGAGGAATTAAACCAAAAGGGTTAGTAAAGTTTAGTTAATCTATAGCATCCAAAAGAGAGAAAGCATATCAATGAGAGCAAAGTCACTAATAATCCTGTTGCTTAGAATTTATACGAAAAAGGTTTTATTGCAGTTAAATTTGTTTCATTCTGTAAGTTAAAAGCTCATTAAGTTTCCTATGAACAGCGCTGACTTCTTATCAGAAGCATAAATTACTGTTCATTTTTAATGACCGAAACTTCCCTTTCAGCCCTTCTTTGCTCTCTGTAACAAAGCAGATTTTTGGCAGAATAAATGAGATTTGTGCAACTTGCTTCAACTGTTCCCCATGGTACTTTTTCTGTTTTGTTTAATTGTAATGTTCATCTGCTCTGTCATGTGTGGTCATTTTTTCTGTGTAGGTAGTTAACATGCTTGGTGTGGAAGAGAAGGTTTTCACTTTCTATTTATTGTTTGGTGTTTTATAAGCCAGTGGTTTCAGGGATGGACAGTTAGGTTTATTTCTCCTGTAGGAGGCTTCTTTTGGAACAAATCGGCTACAGATATTAGGGCCTTGACATCACTTAGTTATACATAAAACAGAAGTAAATCTACCAGCAAATGTTATCTCTGTATGAATTTTAAGTAAGGAAATATGAGCAAAACAGGTGACAGTCTGATTACTTGAGATGTATGCTTCTTACCTTTTAGGCAGAAGGCAGCCTTGTAGTTTGAACTATACATAAAATTCCAAGTACAAGACTTGCCATGTTCCACTTCTTTTAAATCTTGGGTACATTTTCTCAGTTCCATGTAAATAAAAAGAAAGTCTTGTTTTGCTTTAATTTTCATGTAAGAATAAAGAACCAGCATCCGAACAATGGATGTATGTGTTTTGGTTGGTGGTTTGGTTGGTGGGGTTTTTTGTTGTTTTTTGGTTTTGTTGTTTTTGGGTTTTTTTTAAACAAAGAGCAGATAAAGCATAGAACTGGATTTTAATATGAAAAGGTCAATGGGATTAGATGAACTGCCCATGCATGTACTAAAATCTTCAATAATCTGATTTTCAGTATAATAAAATATTTGATCTTTTTAAAGATAGAAGATCAACCTAGAGGTTTATGAAAAGTAAAATTAAATTAGGAAACAGTTCTAATTTGGAAGGTATAAGCAAAGGTCAAACTGATTAACTATCAAGAGATTATTGGAAAAGCATTCCTTCTTACTTGAAGCAGATTGTATGAAAGGAAAACCAATTAAAAAAAAATCACAAGATTGTGACAAACTGGATTCCTTGATGGAAGTGATATTCGCTTACCTTCCCCCAGGCTGCAGTGTTTTCCTCTTCTTCCCCTATAGTTGAAACTATGCAAAGCCTTTATTCATATTTCTACCTTGTTCACTTTACTTGTTATTCCAGTTGCTGCTTTTCATGGTATTTGCTCATACCATTTTATAATCTGTGGTTTTTATTAAACACCTGACAAATTTCCATCCCTTTCTGCAGGTTCAGTCAGACAAAACTTCAACACAAAAACAAGAGGTACCTTACTAAAGTCAGATCACAAGTTTGGGATTTCTAGACAAAATCATATTGTAAAATGTATAATTTGGAATTCCTTAGAAAAGATACATATTTTTTTAACATGAAACTCCTCTGATTGTCAACCATCCCAGAAATCATAAAAAGAAATGCGTAACACATAAAATTAAGAGGAGGAACCTTAGCCATGTATTTTATAACAACAACTTAATTTCCAAATTTTAAAAGAGCAACAGTTATAAATCACAGTTCATGGTTTAAACATTGTGCCTGTATTTAAAATAAAACATGACCATATCTTTATCCGTTGAACGTTGTGTCCGGCTCCTCCTGAGTTTAACAGTTCTTGGCATACTTACATTACCTGCTTGCTTTGTCTGCCAAGAGCGGGAGTTACTAGGCTGTGTAGAGTCATATGAAGTTTTGTGAGCTTGTGTGTCCCAGTGGTGTTTACTTCAGAAACAAGTGGATATAGAATGCTGTTGTCTGTAGTCGGCCATTGGCCATTCTATATGTTCTCCTGACATGTTGGACAAAGTAAAGTGTTACCTTGTATGTATAGACAGAGTATGGGTTTTGGAGTTAGCTGAGCAGTTATGTAGGACTCCCAAGAACAGCTAAGCTCCAGGTGAAGGGCTGAGCTCAACTGTGAATGCAGTATAGATAATAAAGTCTCTTTCAGAAATAATGAGGGTGTTTTCCAGTGCTTAACATACAGAATTCTGTGCCTGATAGAAAAGTATAGCACTTAATAATTCTTTTAAAGTATTGTTAAAAGAAACACAGAGCATTCTGACTAAAAGCAAGTGAAAGATGCCTTGGGGGAGGTAAATTATGTCTGTGTCGTAGACTAGAAAGTACTAATGACAGGAGCACAGATTTCTCACTCACGTTGACATAAAAAATTTATTTCTTTAATTTGCAAGCATATGGTTCTGACGGTTGAGGCATGTCTCTAGAAAGGCCATTAGCAGTCAGGAGCACTGCGGAATGCGAATATGTATATACTTAATATATTATTACAAATACTGTAAGAAAATATTAATTTTTAAATTCTGTAGAGGTACTTCACTGTGATTTAATGCCATAATTTTAGAGTGGGGAAAATATTTTAAAACATTCTGTGCCACTGTTGCTTTAAAGTATAGCAATTGAAAACATACTCATAAGTAGTAGCCATTTTTCTGTCAAACAAAAGTTTTATAGTTCGTTGCAGTAGAAGAAACCGTGTTTTTACAAAGAGATCTGCAGTGTTTTCCACCTTGCGCAGTTTAAATTGCTGAAACAGATTTTGCCCAATCTGGCACATTAGTGGATATAAAATAGACAATGCCTTCTGGTGTGAGAAATTTAATGCCTGCATCTGTGACTTTTCTCTCCATAATAGAATCTGAAGTTGGCATTTTGCATCATAATCAAAAGTCAACCTTACACTGTATAGTGACTTCTATCATTCTTTTCATTCACACAAACTGCAATATTGAAATGTCAGAAACTCTCTCAATGTGTTTTTCTGAATGTAGTAAATACACAGTTAGATACATCAGATACTAAAAGTCTTTTTTCTCTAGGAACACTCCTATATTTGCATATAGCATCGCCATATTGATGGTAGCTTATGCATCATCTCATTAAAAGTTTTTCGGCAGACGTGCTCTCCTTCATTGACAA